GAGCTTCACCTTCTAACCAAAACTTTTATGCATAATTAATCATTACAATTCTACAGTAATAAGTTATTCTAGTATGGCTGTTCAAAGAAATGATAACTTACTGGTAAGTGAGGTTGACAGCATTTACCTGTGAATATAGTTTCAGTTAGAATTTGCGCAGAAAAATTATAGAACAACTTTCACTTGTCTAACATTTTGTTAGACGTCAGTTGACTTAGCTTATACTTTGTGTTTATCATCATGACTGAGTAATATTGCTTCAGACGCTAAAATGTGTCACTCTAGGATGAAGTGGAAGTCAATTACCAGCTGCATTTCTGAACCTGGACAAAAGTGTAATCTAGTCAGGAAGCATAGAGCAAACTCATGGTAATAACTAACAGTGCTAAGCCCAATCCCGTATGTGATTTCGGTGTGCATTCCTATGAAGTCTTATCTCAAGACGGAGCATGCATCCAGTAGTTTGCGATTTCGACTGACTATTTATTTAGCTTCGTTCTTTTTTATACCTCTATTCTGGAAGCTAAAATGTGATTAGTTATAGCTTTAGTTGAAACACATTTGAACACATTCCAGGTGTAAAGAAGAGTATATGCGAGTTACTTAGAATCAAGAATTATGAAGAACACAATATTTGTCGGATTATTTCGACTGGAACTCAGTTAAATACTGAAGTCTCTACCTGAGTCACTGAGGGATACAGGTTCACATACCTGTAAAAGTAGGATTTTCTTCAAAACGGACGATATGATTTACTCGAATAAAATATCCACTAAATTTCCTTCAACTGTTTCCAAACATACAACACCGATTGCAGAGCAATATAAGTGAGGATGACGGACTCCTTCTTAATCCCAAAGTAATTTCAAAAGACATTTGAGTGAACAAAGAATATTCTTCTCGACAAGCTTCTTCTTCACATCCTACGCCTATGTACCCATATTGTGGAATTCTGCTTTAACGATAGTGAGGTTTCTTCCAGCAGTTTATTTACCTGTAGTTTCACTTTGGTAATAATGATGGATAGTTTCAGTCTTAGTGAGAACAACACCACTCACTGTGGGGAAGGTACATCCAGCTGATGAGTCCTAAATAGGACGAAAAGTGCTTCTTGGATCTCACTGCTAACCACTATCCGTCAAATGACCTTTGAAGTATAGACGTAGTCTTTGAGGAGATGAAAAGTAATTTTAAACATTAGTCTTTCTGATCACTGCTTATTCTTAAATTATTTCCTTTCAAATATATTTTCATGTACAACAATCAAAATACCTACGATTGCAGTCAGCAAATTACAGAATTTCAACCAGTTTGTCGGTCTGTGATCCTGTTCAACAGTTGCCCAGCATGCATATCCAGTATAAACTAGATAGTATTTTCAATGAAATATACTACTAAGAGATATAAGCAGCTAATCTGGAAACGTTTTCTCACAGACCTAGGTGGTTGAAGTACCTGATAATTGTTCCCATTACCTGAGGCTGAGTAATACTTGAGATAAATCTGGAAGTATCAAGAGTTTTTGATAGTACACTTGCATAGATGAACAATGATAGTAATAATCATAAGTTGTTAGAAGTGTCAGTATGCAGTGTGCCAGTTTGTGGTCTTCCGCTGCTGACCAGTCAGTAGTATACAGATATGCCTTGCTGACATGTGTCGACATAAACGAGACCTAAGTGTAGGTCTTGCTGCTGATTGTCACCAGCTAACTTACATCCACGAAAATGCACTGTGATGGGCAGCTTCATAGATTGGTGGTTATATTACAAAATGGTTGATAGAATTCAGTCGGTACTTAGGACTAGATGACATGAAATTAGTCGTCTTCGAGTGACCACTCAATGTATCTAATCCAATCCTACGGAAGGTCGATCGCGACTCAGATAGCTCAGTGGTAATTTCACTAACTGTAACATTGGGTGACGCGTGTTCAAATCTCAGAGTAGACATCAGTTTTCTTTAGGTTTTAGATACGCCGTGCTGAAGAGATATAGGTCTCACAGGTCTTTCCGCCAATTGTCTCCAAGCAACTAACACTCGGTATTCACATGATAAGATCTATTTTACTTCCATAGTTAGAATCACCACCACTAATGGAATAGTTTCTATCGCTATTCATTTGGTGTGTGACAGTGTCATGTGAATGAAAATGTTAGCCGATGGATAACCATTGTAATTGTAGATTACTAAGTGACTTTTTGCACCAATTATGGCTAGTCAGAAAAGCGAAGCGAGACAACACTATACTCTACCGTGTATGACGTTCAACATTCGGAGTCATTACACACGCTAGCCATCATCAGATATACAACTTTACGATTATGAAGCGATGCAATACACACAGTGACTTCGTAAACTATGCGAAATACTTCTACGAGTAGTAATTCCCATAATCACACGCACACACATACCACAATAGGAAATGTAATTATCACTATCAGTTGTCAGATAATCAATTCATAAGAATCCTGATTAGTCCTTTGTTAGTTTTCTCCAGTAAAACTTAACTAACTACTCCTCAATCATTTACAAACCTCAGTCGACTGCCTTTAATAGAAATGAATCTACATGTGAATTTCGTATAAGCAGAAAAATGTGAATAATAATTTTTCAACTAAATGTCATCAAAGCAATCTTAATGCCGACTTTCTCCACCCCCAACTTTATAACGTCTGCTCAGCATAAAAAGGGTTAACAGATGAGCATATAGTTAGATCGATTATTTCAAACATTTTCGATTGAAAACGAAATGGTATAGTGACGATGGTAGCAGAAGAATCTTGGCTGTAGTAGGAAAAAAATGGCTAGCCTACTGAATTAGCTATCAAACAGATTCAGCTTCATATTGGTCTGTACTAACAATCTGTGGGATACATTGTGACCTATTTTTAAATTACTATATCAGTTACTGAGCTTTATTTCACTATTTCGTATCTTGAAATTTACTTAGTCTTATCCTTCCACCTTCATTTTAGAATATTCAATTATCTACTATGTTAGGCGGTTGAGATTGAAAGAAAAACATCACAAGTAGGTACATTTCATGATTTCTTTTGAATACGATTGTTCTGCTTTCCGTGGAACATTAGATTGTAACCCTGTGGCTGAATGGTGAAACCCGACAACCTTAGGCTTGATCCCCCTTGGGTTCATGGCTGTACGCTTCTGACGAGACTTGAACTGGGACGAAACAGTTATCTAGCCCTCCATGATCCTTAATGGTTTTCCAAATGATATTAATCTGTGGTAAAACAAAAGCCCACCAGTCTCACCAAGTGTACTAATGATTCATTTTATTGGTGTAATTGATCCCTCCTTCTCTTACATCATTGTCCCGTACTCATTATAGCAACAACTTCATAGTTTTTTCTGAGAAAACTATGGAGAGTATTCACTAGAGCTTTCGACAGGTAAACTCTGGAGGTAGAATCCGCCAAAGAAATGTTTGTCCACTCAGGGGAGGATTTTGGATCTCATCAAAAAATTATAAGACATGGTAATTAATACAGACCTCATAGTGTGCTTGATTGCACTCAAAACAAGATAAATTCACTATCAAAAAACTGTTGAACAAATTGACTAAAAATAGTAAACATTATATCATCCAAAGTCTTTTCATCAATAGTAGTTGAAAAACAATGAGAATAAAATAAACCCAATCGATAAATGCATTAGAAAAGTTGGATTTATAGGAAGAAGGCATAAAAAAGGTTCATTAAGGAATTTCCTAACACCTTTGAGGACTATAGTGAAGCTGAAAAGTAGTCAGCAATTGGGTATTCAGGCTGTATCGATAGAGTGTAGGATAAATAAGTAACCTGGATGTTGTTGTTTTTGGATCTTGTTGAAACTCAAGTTTTCTTTCAATTCTAATATCCATCCAGTTGGATTTATTATGATAGCTTATTTTTGAGTTTTTCACTATACTATACCAATGTTAAATAAGTTCGTTGATTTCACTTCAACGAAATTCCTTTCTAATACATTGTTTGAATAGATTTTAAATACAATTCTGATAAACGAAATCTCTTATACTGTTAATATGTTTCAGTCAACAATGATTGACTATTAAGTTATAAAATCATCAGTTAAGGAGAAGCTACCCAGTGGTATTTGAAACTATGGGTACTGGGGTTGAATTTCAAGGGGGAATATCATCATTCGTTATGCTGTAGGTATATCTAGCTGACCAGTCATCTCAATCGGTGAAAATATATGTCCTGAACTCCACTTTTAGCCACTGTACATCAATATTATCTGATATCAGTAACCCAAAAATTATTTTGTCCAATAAATATAACCATAGTGTTAGGAGGAATAAAAGTCCTCATTAAAAGTACACTGACCACCAACAATTTGAAATATTGAGAAGTATTTATTTTGAAATTAATTCTTTCATCAAATAATTATTAAATTTTGAGGGAGTTGTGGGGATTCGGAAATATTTCAAGTTGTTATTCACCATAGATTGACATCAGTTGGAGGAACAAAGTAAACCTGGGAACACTGGACAACTTCAAGAGGTATTCCCGAATTTCCAATAAGAAGTCGTGACCGGTGGAGTCAAGCCTGATGGTCATGAGGACAGTTACTCAACTATGACATTGGGTGGAGGCTGTGCTGTATCGTGAGCCAACAGAAGTTGGAAATATGGACCGTTGGATTCTGACCCTGTGGCTCAACGGTAATGTGCTGGCCACGGAACCTGAAATTCACGGGTTCGATCCTTGGCAGGGTCGTGGGTGCGCACTACTGAGGAGTCCCATACTGGGACGAAACAGCTGTCCAGTGCTCCCAGCTTTCCTCTGTTCCTCCAACTGCTGTCAGCCTACGATGAATAACAACTTGACATAATTATTATTATATAACCTGATAAATAAATAAAAAATGTAGCTAATTGTTTGGAAAAATAAAAACAACAAATTAAAATAACTACCAATGTTGAATAGGTAAGTAGAAAAAAGAACAAGTTAATACACACGTATGTTTAAACTTACACAATAAAAAATATTTAGCCGCCATTGTACACATTTACTCTAACTCCACAAAAGATATATGTTTTAATATGCTGGTCAGATAGATGCGTAAACTCAATATAAACCTTTTCAACCTAGTTAATTATTTCCTTTTTATATATACACACATGAAGTGTATACGCTTCTTGTGTATTGTGTGCGAAATTGTACGCCCACTTGTTTACTTTACACTAGTTGACCAATCAAAATTAGCTTGTTCAATTTTTCAATAGAAAAGATTTTAAAAATTATATTCACATCTGCAATCATAATCATCATCATTTCTTCTCTTTTTTTTTTCCTTTTTTTGTACGCTAAAAGCGTGGCATAATTCGGCAATAAATTTTAGCCAACACAAGTGTTTATGTGTGTTTGTCTAATTATGCAACAATTGTTGGAGTTGAGTGGGTGGCTGGAAAATAAATAATAATAGCCAAGATGTGACTAATTTGTAAACAGGCAAAGAGTAATTGGATTCAAGCGTGTTGACTCATTGGAATCAACAATTGAAAACAGTTGTGATATGGTTGCATTCGTCTGTGGATAAACACACCATATTTTGATAAAGCAATTTATCACTTGAATTAGGATATAACTGAACTAAAATATGGACAATCTCTAGTTTTTATCAATATGCTGTTAATGAGTTGTTTGTCTGTTATAACTTGACTAGACAAAAAGTTTTGCATAGGCATGGCGCCGTCAGTCTCTAGTGGAATTTAACTACCCAGGAGGTCAACCTTTGTATTTGCATAAAACTGTACATTCTGCACTCAGCTAGTGATCTCACATCGATGTTTCTCCTGGGGTTGACTAATTTAGAACTATTGGTGGTATATACCACCTACTGTCTCCGCTAGTTAAAGTAACCCAACAAAAATTTGGCTCCTATCTTAGACAGATAGATAAATGCACAGTAACTGGCTGCCTGTCATCCAATCGTTGATACTGATGGAGATTAATTGTCCCGGTTATTAATCCACCTATGAAATGCTGGGGGTGTATAGCTGGGAGCAGTTGGCAACTCAATCACTGGATGATCTGGATAGACTATGAGCTGATTGCCAATCGTGGCAAGTTATGTCATCAATATATGGAAAAATCATGATAACTCAAAGGCTGAAACCCGCAGCCTTCACCTAATTGATTTTAAATTTTGGACTAAATAAGACTGATCATTGGTTAGCATTCAGTGAACAGCAACTTATTGACGCTTTAGATGAACCATACAACTGAAATATGGTAGTTATTATCCACATTAGTCATTTGAATATTTCCCTCCGCTCCTTTCAAACCGCCGATAAACTGGTATAACTCTCATATGAATCCTGGTCAAGATTTGACCGGATATTTTCACAACTATTGAGCATCGAGTGAAAAGCTGACATCAGAGATATCTTATATTTGAACAAACCTCACCTGTTTGAAATAAGAAATTCCAATGCTCCTTATAGAAGTCTGGTGTAAGCTTCTTCTGGGAAATAATCAAAATCTACATTATCATAGATACATATGAATGCACCATAGTGTAAATGATTAATAACCTTACTAAAAAACAAGAATAATCCAATCACGACTGGGCAATGAGATGAACTATACGATTTATATATATATATATATATATATATATATATATATATATATATATATATATATATGTATATATATATATGTATATATATATATGTATAATCGTATAACTGAAAGTTGGATAAAGTATGTCCTAGAATACTTACCTTGAGCATCAGGTAAAGCAACCTTTTGGAGTGTGAGTTGCAGTCGTTTCTTAAGCTTCATGTTAGGATTGACAACACCTGTGTGGTAGTCATTCCACATTTCCTCTCGATCGTACCGTTATATTATGCACATGGAAGAAACTGTAACCTACCGTCTTTACCGATCAATAAACAGAATGACCAACTTACAACTTAGCCCCTTTAATGCTTCTTTTTGATATGTTAACCATACATATTTCAATCTTCTCCAACGATTCACAGATGTTAATTATGAAAATTTCTTATTCTTATGATCTCCGTGGAAGTTTCTCACGTGAATAAATCGTTGTATGGTGTGTACTACTCATGTCAGTAGTATGCGGTATGCCATCGATGGGGAAAGTAAGTAAAGTTGCTGTAGAATCCATAGAGACTTTAAAGAAAAAGGATGAAGAAGCAACAAAAACTAAAAATCAACTCACCTACTACATATAATTCACAGATTGTTTGCATGAGTTGTGGTCATTGTGAGTGGTTATCTCTAACCAAGGCTTAGTGTCATATTACAGCTATGTATATGAAGGTAAAGAAGAATAACGGAGGTTTGGTCTGTGGAAGAACAGGAAATTGACAAGGAAAGTGTCTAGTGAGGTGTAGGTATTAGTATTTTAAAAGCTATACTGTGACTTCTTTGTTTCTGATTAAACTGAGGGTTGACGCAGTAAGAGATAAGAGCGATGCATTATTCTTACTGAAACTGAGTAGAATTTGACATCTACAACTTCAGCAGTTCTCGGCTGTTTTATTTTCATACTTGTAATTCACATATATATCTAGTTATTGAATTACATGTGCTTTTTCCTTCTCATAGATGTTGATTTGTGGCAGTTTGAATGTTACATACATTTTCTGGGCATTTAGCGCTCTCTATAAAGATTGTGTTGATCATATAGTGTTAAACAGTGAATACAATCACAAATTAGTTCCTTTGTTCAAAATAGTTTCCTAGACTACCAAACCTTTTTGTGTAAGTCTACTGGTGTTAGTCAAATTAAAGATGACTGACAATAGCCATGTTATGTGATGAACTGATAAAAGTAGGAAAAAGTGAAGTATTAGGTTTCGATTCAGTGACTAGATAACAGTTTGGTCATCATGAGACTTAACGGTCCTGGACTTGATCTTTCATAGGCTTGCGGCAGCTTACAGCTTAGAAGCCACAAACTTGAATGATACAGTTGATGTAAGGGAAAAACTGGGGCATTGCTATAGAATATACCTCCATATTAGATTGTTTATTTGATATAGCCACCACACACTGTGACACAGTATTATTTACTAGATGACAACATTCCGAGCAGAATTCATTGCGAATATTCATATCAAGGTAATCACACGACTTCCAAACTTCCTTCATATAGTCCAACGCCTCCTCTTACTTTTACCTTAATGGGTAGTAAAAGTTCCCAGATATCTGTAATATGTGATAGTGATTCCTGTTAAATGGGTGTTAGGTGTTGATTCAATGAAGAGAGACACTTTAAACAATTTCTCTCTCTCCACCTAGTTAGATATGATTTTAGAAATGTCATTCTATCCAATTATTTTGCTGGGAATATGAGTCAGTGCATGTAGAATGATTGCCGAGTTTTTCTCTAAATTACTTATCTTAGTGGAGTCTACCACTGTATGTTTCGCTAATGTAATGCCTAAAACTAGTGATCCTAGTAGAGTGTATGGTATGGTTCATAGAACAGATCATCCCATTACGCCACTAGTTGAAGTGACTTGAAAGGTCACCCTAGCAACAGTTGAAATGACTAATTAGGTTTCTCTACTTTGTGAGAATCTGCCTTTCCAGCTGAAATAGAGAAGCCTAATTGATCATTTCGATTTTTGCTAGGGTGACCTGTAAAGTCGCTCCGACTTTAAAGGCCATCTTGCAGCTGATAAGATAGCCAGTTACATTCCTTCATTTTGTAGAAAAGTACTTTCCAATGGGAAATACCGAAGTCGGATTGGTCCATTCAGCAGTCTGCTAGGGAAGCCTTTAGAAACAGATCAGTCAGTATATGAGCTATCTAAACACTTAGCTACCATACTATACCCTATTAAAAATCACTCGGAATCTAGGCTCAGTAATTCAACTGAATTAAAACACAGGCTAAATAATATACAATTAGACGAGGGAGAAATGATGGTCAGTTTTGATATGACAAACCTCTATACAAATATACCAATTAATATGCCACTTGGGGCAGTCAGAAATGAACTCAGTAATAGAAACAAAGTTTCTATTAAAGAAATTATGCTCTTAACTTCCACTGTTTTCGAATTTCAAGACAAACATATAAACAAACAGAAGGGGTAGAGATAGGATCGCCAGTATCCTTGATCGTAGCAGACATATTGATTGACACAGTTGGGAACAACCCACCTTGAAAGTATGGTGGGGATATGTAGATGACACATTTACTGTGCTAAAATCAGAACACATTCAAAGCTTTTTCGCACGCATTAACTCGATAGTAGATACAGTCCAATTCACTTATGAATTAGAATATGAAGAAGGAGAGCTACCTATGATTGACTGCAAAATCAAGAAGAGAGTAGATGGGAGCTTAAATATCAGTGTTTATAGGAAACCAGCACATTCAAACAGATACTTGGATTTCACATCGTCTTACCCGATATCTGTCAATGTAGGCTTGACAAGATGTTTTAGTAATCAGGCTAGAAGTTCGACTAGTAAGTCAGAAAATCTTAGCAAAAGAAACACATCAAAGAGACACTAATTCTTAATACCTACCCTCCGGAGTTTATTAAAAGTTTAAAAAAGGACTGATAAGAGAAGAAGTGGTAATTTTAGGGGTGACTGCAACTTGCCTAAGAGGGAATTTAAGTCATTTGTAATCTTGCCGTATAAGAAAGCATATGGGAAATTTTACATAGAATTCTTAACAGTGGTGGGATCAGGGTGGGCTTTAAACTCATGAACTCGCTGAGAGGGAAACTTCGTAGGCGTAAAAGATCCAGTAGAGCCAATTTGGAAAAATAATCTAATTTACCAAATACCGTGTAATGATTGTGAGGTCAGGCACCATTTAGGTCGAAGCAGCTGATCGATGTCAGTGAGAATAGCACAGTACAAAAAGTTGGCAAAGCGTACAGTGGCAGACCTCACCAAGATGAGTAATTTAGAGAGCAGGTTGGCTACTGCCATGTGTATGTGTTGATTCATATTCCCAGCAAAATAATTGGATAGAATGACATTTCTAAAATCATATCTAACTAGGTGGAG